GACAAAAGTAGGAAACCCTAATTGAACTTAGGCACATGATTCGGGCAACCCACTCATCGCCTCTCCTCGTCAACTCGTTTTCAGACGCAAACCACCATGCGACTGGCTTGCTCAACCAGCTGTCGTTTTCCACACTTTGAAAACGCAGAAATACTTGTGCGCATTTGATGACGGTGCAATGACGCCAACTCGCACTACGTTGCTTCGAAAACCTCGGACGTGCACTGACGACAATCCGTCGGCGCCAGCTGCCACACAAAATCAGCTACGAGCTTGACGGAATTTCACACAGTAAACTCACGTCTTTAATGCACGACAACCACAACTGTCCATTTTCCAAGGGGAGGGAGGGTACAGTCGATCGCGACCGTCGAAGGCAATGAGCTGGCGGTGCCGAAGGAGCGCGATAAAATCCATGGCCGCTTGGAGCTCCTGGACCCCAAAACATCCTTCCTTCTCGGGGCAATCAAGGACTGGAAAGGTGGCGATTGGTGCGGGGGCGACTCGAAATTGGTTCGGGCCGAAAGTGTAGGCCGAACTCATTTGACGCGAGATGCTCGGGACATCCCCGCTAGGGGATGTCTCCAGTAAGGAATTTGTAATTCCATAAAAATCTTTTATACAGGTCGTAACCACATACACAAAGGCACAGTATAGCAAGCATGGCAGTTAAAACCAAGGTCTAAAAGGCCTACGCCACACGGCATTACTTGCCTATCAGAAGATAGCAAGGACAGAACAGCCATTATAGCACGGTATCTGGAAAGTCACACTCTAAGGTGGATGAAAAGCCTCGTTCAGCAGCCAAAACTCTTGTGGACTAGGGTGCAGCTGAGGTGAACTGCTGGAGTCAAAATAGAGCAGGCGGAGGGAAGTGGCAGCAAGCCAAGGTGTAAGGAAAAAACCTTTTCCTTATCGGGGTTGACTACTACGCGTACAACCCCAACACTTTCGGACTTCGCACGTTCGGCCGACACCCACGATTCCGAGGCTACTACGCGTCGCCTTCGGTTTTCCTTTCGCCAAACCTGCACCCAACCTCTCGTTCCCGAGATTCCCACCTAGCTAGGGTAATCACTATATTATCACTTGCCTTCATTGTATTGTCAGTTCATTCAGTCACAGATTCGATATTCCTTTTCCGCGCAACTCAATGTCACAACTCATAACACCTGGTATCAGAGCTACTTTCCTAGTTCACCCCGCTTTTCAAGGGTAGTTTAGTAGCACGGGTGTGGCTGGTACAGTGGGAGGCAAGACGGTTGGCTGCAAGGTCACAGATACCCCTCTGCCTACTAGACGAAGTTAGTGACTCATGGACCAGGAGGCATTCAATAGACTCATGTAGCAAATGGCGGACATGCAGACTACTGTGAAAGCATTAACAACGGAAGTGGAGCAATTACGAGAAGAAAACTCCGAGCTACGCCAGACGCGAGGTGAAGCGCGTACGGAGCCGCCCGTTGAAGAAAGCGAGGGCAGCAGTCAAGCGGGTGAGCAATTCGTTGGAAGAGCTCACACGCGGCTTCGAAGAAGAGGATAGGCAGCGAGCGGCGGCAACGACAATTGCAGTCACGACAATCAATATTAAAACCCACGAGCCTGCTCGAAAGGAGAGTGCGAGAGGAGAGCTTGCTCGCTTTGGCATCGCGAACAAGGGAGAGCGCGCCCCAGACCCGAAACACTGACGCATCACCAGGCTTCCCCGTCCATCGGAGGGTGGACGAGGTCTCTGGCTCCGAGACACGGGGCCAGAGGTTGAGCTGATGCGCAGCGTATCGGACCGCAAACGGCCACAGAAAATGGGGAGCAGCCGCATGGATCATGGAGGTGCGAGCAACCTCCATGATCAAGCCAATGCGACGCTCAGCAATCCCATTCTGCTGAGGAGAGGCCGGAAGCGTGAACGTCTGGCGGATGCCCTCGTCTCGATAGAACCCCGCAAGGAGGTCAGAGGAGAACTCACCGCCCCTGTCAGAGTGCAGACGCAGGACTGGGAAGTCCTGCTCAAACCGCTCATGCAGCTGGAGACGAGTAGCACGGATCCAGGGGATCAGGACACCGCTGACGTCCGCCTTGCGCTGCAAGGGGAAGACAGTGGTGTAGCGTGCGTCGTCGTCAACAACCAGCATGAAGTAGTGCTCGCGGTCCGTTCCACCGATGGGGGCCGGGCCCCACACATCCATGTGGAGAGTCTGCAGAAGAGCAGTGATCGGAGGAAACTCGGAGGAGTGAGGAGCGGCGCGCTGCCGCCCTTCGACGCAAGGAAGGCACGGCGGGGCAAGCGAGCGCGGCAGGGGGGGCAGGGTCCTGGGGAGGCCAGAGACAAGGAGACGGGAAAGCATGCTCCGTAGACGCGGCAGTGAGGGGTGACCAAGACGGTGGTGCCAGCCCTGAGTCTCGTGCGTGAGTACTCTGCACGAGCAAGACGCAGCTAACTGTCCCGACGCAGACGCCCGACTCGACGCAGCCACCTGACCTGACTCAGCCACCTGTGCAGACGCAGTGGTCAGTGTGTACAGACTAGACCCAGGCTGGCGAGTGAACGTAGCCAGGTGACGGCCAGTCCGGGAGCACGTACAGATCGCCACACGCTGCCCTCCAGGAATAAAGGTATCAACCCAGACATCCTGAATGGCAGCGTTGCTCACCAAGTTCGTCGAGAACGTGGGGAGGTGGAGACCTGACAGAGAACCGGAGGGGACTGCTGGACAAGGGAGGACAGTGGAGGCTCGCGCAACTACTGGGCCCCCAGAGGGGTCAGCCAGTGAGACTGGGACAGGTGCTGCGAGTGGTGTGACTGTGGTGCAATCACGAAAGAAGCAACGTGACGCGCCTGAGTCAAGCGTGAAAGTGTGTAAGACCTCAGTTGAGGCAGGACCTGTGGCAGGAGACGCACTAGCACCTAGAGCGTCGGCAGACTCACGGGCACCTAGAGCTGCAGCAGACTCACCAGCACCTGGAGCAGCAGCAGACCACTAGCACCTAGAGCGGCAGCAGCAGCAGACTCACTAGCACCTGGAGCGGCAGCAGACTCACCAGAACCGAGAGCAGTAACCTCGACACAGCCAGGGACGCATCGCTGAGAAGCACAGTCGCGAGGTCGCTTAGGCCACATAAATCCAAAACCTCCACCACCAGGACTGCCTCGCTGAAACACCCACTCACGAAGCTGCTGAGGGGTGGGGTCGTCCGGGAGAGGCAGTGCCCGCTGCTGTCCACCCCTGGTCGCAGCAACTGCCGCGATAGTGGCCATGACAGACAGTGACGGTCAGGAGTAGGTCCAGCACCTCCAGCTCCTCCAGCACCAGCAGCACCTCCAACACTCCCAGCAGCACCTCCACCAGCAGCAGCAGTAGCACGAGTAGCAGCAGCTGTTGCAGTAGTAGTAGCAGGGCGGCTCGGGTTTGGGCGGTGCGGCTTGGGCTGGGCGGCGCTGCTCGGCAGGGCAGAGCTCAGCAGTAGCAGCGGGTGCCGCAGCAGCAGCCGCAGCAGTGGAAACCTTTTTTTTTTTTTTTTTTTTTTTTTTAAGAAAGCAGTAGTAGCAGCAGAAGTAGCGCGGCTCAAGCAGGGCGGCGCGGCTCGGGCTGGGCGGCGCGGCTCGGCAGGGCGGCACGCGGGCTGCAAGAGCGGCGCGCGGGCTGCAGTGGCAGCGCGCACGGGCTGCAGGGGCGACGCGCGGGCTGCAGGGGCAGCGCGCACGGGCTGCAGGGGCGACGCGTGGGCTGCAGGGGCGGCGCGCGGGCTGCAGGAGTGGCGCGCGGGCTGCAAGGGGCAGCGCGCACGGGCTGCAGGGGCGACGCGCGGGCTGGAGGGGCGACGCGCGGGCTGCAGGGGCAGCGCGCGGGATGCAGGGGCGGCGCGCGGGCTGCAGGGGCAGCGCGCACGGGCTGCAGGGGCGACGCGCGGGCTGCAGGGGCGACGCGCGGGCTGAAGGGGCAGCGCGCGGGCTGCAGGGGCGGCGCGCGGGCTGCAGGGGCGAGGCACGGGCTGCAGGGGCAGTGCGCGGGCCACAGGGGCAGGCACGGCTGCAGGGGCAGCACGGTCGCAGGGGCGAGTACTGCTGCAGGGGCAGCACGGTCGCAGGGGCGAGGACGGCTGCAGAGGCAGCGCGGTCGCAGGGGCGAGCACGGCTGCAGGGGCAGCGTGGTCGCAGGGGCAGCGCGCAGGCTGCAAGGGCAGTGCGGCTGCAGGGGCAGCGTAGGAAGAAAAAATTACGGGTAGGGCAGGGCGGAACGTTCGGTGGGCCCTAGGAACGATTCTGCTCTAATACCATGTTAGAATAAGCAGGTAGGAATGATGGACTATGTAGCATGCATGAGTACAAACCTAACCCTAAAGTGTTGTACCCCTTGTAGGCTAACCCACTATAGCCTAGAGAGAACACAAACATACAGTTTGACAGAGAAGACAACACCTGGGTGACGTCCGCCTCGCTTGAAGCACCTTCGCTTCTCAGTGATTACCTCGCCCGCAAGCGAGTTGCGGACATTGAATACCTTCCTTACAAAGGGGGGGGGGGTGAGGGGGTGTAGGGGGTAGTGTAAGGAAAAATCCTTTTCCTTATCGGGGTTGACTGTCACGCGTACAACTACAACACTTTCGGACTTCGCACGTTTGGCCGACACCCACGATTCCGAGGCTACGCGTCGCCTTCGATTTAACCTTCACCAAACCTGCACCCAACCTCGTGTTCCCGAGGTTCCCGCCTAGCTAGGGTAGTCACTATATTATCATTTGCCTTCATTGTATTGTCGGTTTATTTGGTCACAGCTTTGATATTCGTTTTCCGCGCAACTCTATTTTGCAACTCATAACAGAGGGTCTCACATAAGATAAACAGCCATCAACTGCAAAACAGTTGAAGCTAGGTTACCAAGTTAGTGAAGGTGAAATCTCTTTTGTTGAGTTGGAAACCCACCCCCGTCAGTGCCCCAGAAGCAATTGCAAAACAATTTCTCGCCTGCAGTCACGTGAGACCACGCTTACATCGAGGACAAATGATGTCGTGTCTCCAAATTCATCCCTCCGCTTCGATCCGGCAGATTCATTGCTTCTGGCTCTGTCCAAAATCCTGGCAGCGAGAATTTGTTCTCTCCCACCGATAATATCACAGTCACTAGCAGGAGGGTTGAACGCGGCACGATATCAGCATAATGCGGGGCAGGCGAAAGCCACGGACCGAGCTCCACACAGCAGCGGGAAGGGGAGAAGCGCGGAGCAAGGGGGTCCGGGGGGCGGGGGGGGGGGAGGAAGGCGGGAGTCGAGGGGGACGGGGGATTTGCCGGAGGGATTGCAGGAATCGCAGAATGAGCGCAGGCGCGACAGGAGAGTCACGCAGGGGGAGGCGCAAGGGTGGGTGCGCATAGGGGGGGCTAAAGCGGAAGCCTTGCGTGTGCGCGTGGGGCGGAGATGGGCGGAAGACGAGGAAAACGTGGAGGCGGAAGCGGAGGAGGCGCTGGGGGAGACGCTAGCACAGAAAAGGCGGAGGTTTGCGCGTAATGTGGAGCGCATGAAGGGGGATGCAGCGCGCAGGCGGAAGCTGGCAGAGAAAGGGCTTCCGCCGCCCCCCCTTGGCGCGCCGGACAACGGGCTGCTGGTCCTGCGGCTGGTGCGCGTGGCGCATCGCACTCTCGCGCTGTGGCTGTCCCTTCAGGTGAAGATCCCTAGGCTGCTGGAGAAAGTGCCGGCGCATGCGTGCAGGTATGGGCGCATGGGCGCATGGGAGCGTGTAGGTAGGGGCGCAAGGGAACATGCAGGTAGGGCCGCTGCTTTGAGGGTGGCGTGGGGTGCACCGCACTCTCGCGCTCTGGCTGTCCCTCTAGGCGAAGATCCCTAGGCTGCTGCAGGCCGTGCCGACGCATTCATGCGTGTAGGGTTGCTGCTGCAGCCGCTGCTGCTGCTCTCTGCTGTCTTGCCTCCCGTCTCCAGCCTCTCGCCCATCCCTGTGCCACAGGTCTCCCATCTCCCACCATCCCAATGCCATCTGCCATCGCAAGGCCCCTTCACAAACCACTCTAACCACCCCTCTCCTCCAAGCTCCCCTTCCCCAATCCTTCTCGCCCTTTCTCGCCTGGGCCCCCTTGTCCCCGTCTCCCGTCTTCCCCATCTCCTCGGGCTGTGCCCAGAAATCTGCACTGCCCGCCAGCCACGCCATGAGCAGCTCCAAGCCGTTCATAACCCCTCCAAGACGTTCATAACCCCGGTGCCTCCAAGCCTCTCTGCCTCCAAACCCTTATAGTGACATGCGACCCTTTGAACTCACTCCCTTCTCTCCCCCTCCCCCATCCCCCAGGCTGTGTCCAGAGGTCTCCATTGCCCGCCACCCCCATGCCATCCGCAACTGCAAGGGTCCAAAGGGGCACATTCGGTCGGGCAGTCTGGGCAGCCATGAATGGGCGCCTGCCACGCCCTCTGACATCCTCCCGGTCATCGAAAGTTTTCACCTGCCCGATCGTCTGCGCCCCCGCGTACCGGACGAGTCGAGATTTGACGTGGAGAGGATACCATCTGTCATAGAGCTGTGCGTTCAGGTGATTTTTCAGGTTCAGGTGGATTTCCAGGTTTAGATGATTCTCCAGGTTCAACCGTTTTCCAGGTGCATGTAACTCATTAGGTTCATGTCATTCTTCATGTTCATATAAGTTTTCAGGTGAGTTTTTTGTTCTTCCACCCGTCCCGACCCCCCTGCAGGTGGGGTGGTCATAGGTCTCCCACCTGCATATCCCTCCCCTGTGTCACATTCGCACGCCAACATCCCTTTTTGCACGCTTTCCCACGCTCTGCTGTGTGTGGAGCACCGTGCATGACCAAACAATTCTGTGAGCTGTTCGGTCACACAAGCATCCACCACCCATCACCTCTTCTCCAACCCCCATGTCCTGGTCTCCACTTCTCCCTTCCACTTCCTCTCTCCTCAGGCGGGTGTGGACTTGCCAGGCCTGCGCACCGTGCGTCGAACCGATCCTGTGCACACCGCCAGGCCCGGCACCACCAGGCCAGGCTTGGAGAGCGAATGGGCGTCAGGAGTGTCTAGCAGGGGAGCTTATAAGGAGGATGAGAGGGATGTGGTGAAGGCGATTCTAGAGATGGCTGAGATGGAAGCAGTGGGGGCAGAGGTGATGTGGGATGAAGGGTCTAGGGGAAAGATGAGGAGAGGGGAGGAGGGGTGGAGAGGGGTCATGGAGGAGGGTGGGAGAGGGAGGGAGGAGGAGAAGGATGATGGGGACAGGATTGAGATAGGGTTGGAGAGGAGAAGCGACCGAGAGGCTGATAGGGAGGATAAAAGGAAGGGAGAGGAGGAACAGGACGGGAAGGAGAGAGGAGGGGATATGGAGGTGGCGGAGGAGGCGTTGAGGGAGTGTGAGGAGGTGAGGGAAGGCGTGGAGAGGGTGATGGGCAAGTACCCTGTGATGGTGTGTGGGTACTGCCCTGAGGTGCACGTGGGTGCTGCCGGCCACAAGGTGAGAGCATGGGTGGCGTGGAGGGAGCAGGGGGGGGGGGGGGGGGGGCACAAGGGGGCACGGGGGAGTTTTGGGGCGCCTCAAATGCCGTCTTGTGTCTCTCAGTTTTGAGGTTCCTCAAAAGTACCCTTGGTGGTGTGCGGGTACTGCCCTGAGGTGCATGTTTGTGCTGCCGGGCACAAGGTGGCAGCTTGGGGAAGCATGGGGAGCATTGCGGCTGGGCCATCCTGTTTAAGGACATGCTTCGGTGGGAGCATGCGGGCGGCATGTGGGAGAAAGGTCAGCAGTAACACCAGTGACAAACACCTTGTCTGCCTGATTCCCACGATTAGCTCACTCCAAAGAGCTCCTTCCCTTCCCCTTCACCCCCTACTGCTCACCACTCAAGCCCTCCTCTCACCCCACCCTCTTGTCCGCAGGCGCGCCTATGCAACGCCTCCAAGCAGCAGAGGCGACACGAGTTGAAGAGCTGACAAAAGCTCACAACTCACCATACACGCTCCTTCTCCCTGCCTTCCCTGCTCCAAGGTGCGCCTGTGCAACGCATCCAAGTAGCAGTGGTGCCACGGGCAGCATGGGCTACAGCCAGCTCTACTCCCCTTCCCCTTCACCCCCTGTTGCTTCACTACTCAAACCCTTCCCCACTCCACCCATTCATCCCCAGGTGCGCCTCTGCAATGCCTCCAAGCAGCAGTGGCGGCACGGGCAGCACGAGTGGTAGCCGGAAGTGCTGGCGGACTTGCTCCCCCCCCGTGCCCGTCTACCACACTCGCCACCCCTCCAGCGCGCCGCTGCTGCACGAGCTGAGGGCCTTCTACGGCCGAGTGCCAGCGCTGGTGGAGCTCTGTGTGCAGGCCGGGGCGCATGTGCCAGCGAAATGGAGGAGATATTTTAGGCTCGATGTTGCAATTCCTAATGCCAGCAACGTGGATAATGTGGTGTAAGAAGCACCTTGTACCACCACTCCGGCCCGCCTCTGCTGCATGAGCCGAGGGCCTTCTACGGCCAAGTGCCGGCAGTGGTGGAGCTTTGTGTGCAAGCAGGCGCCAGTGCTGCCGAAACAGCGGAGGTATTTTAGGCTCGATGTTGCAATTCCTGATGTCAATGATGTGGATAATGATGATGTATAAAGCACCAAGCAGGGATAACTTTAGTATAAGGGTTTCGGCTCCTCTGTCTGACTTTAAGACCAGCTTTCGGCCGCTTGTCTGAGCGTCTGATGGAAACTTGAGCGATGTCTATCATTTTAGACGAATTTTTTGTCATTGTTTTGGAATTCATACGAGTCTAAGGGTTTTGTCTAAGTTATGCATGTCAGAATCACTGTGCAGGAATGAATGAACTATGAATGAGTTGGGTACAAGTACTAACTCTAAAGTGTTGTACTCCTTGTAGGCTAACCCACTATAGTTTAGAGAGAACACAAACATACAGTTTGACACACCCCCATAGGCTAAGTGGGAGAGAGAAAACACAACAGACGGTCACAAGACCAGTCAAGCAAGGGAACAAGCAAAGCAAAGCTCAGGGTGGATCTCAAGAACACCACACAATCTGAGCACAAGCAAGCGGCCACAAGGCCAGTTCACATGCAGAGTTATAATAGCAAGGCAGTACACTGATCACAACCTAGCAAGAGTAAACAAGCAGGTATAAAGATATATATCAGTGTACAACAAGAGCAAGTCAAGCAACCAGCCGGTGAGGCAGAGTGGGCACAAGCCCAAGAGCAGTGCAAAAACGCTGAAGATCACCAGACCCGAGGGTCTTGGTGAAGACATCAGCAGTGTTGGCCCGAGAGGCCACGTAAGCAAGGCGCAGCTGACCACGCTGCTGCAGCTCTCGAGCAAGAAAGTAACGAAGAGCAATGTGCTTCGTTCTATGCTCCAGTCTCTGCTCGCGACACAAGGCAAGCATTGCCTTGTTGTCGACGTACAGAACTGGAGGAGAAAGAGGCCACTCCCCCAAGTCGGTCAGCAGGTAGGTCAGCCAGCGTAGCTCCTGTGCAGCCATGGCCCCAGCGTAGATCTCGGCCTCACAGCTGGAACTAAGCACAGAAGAAGAACGAGTGGACCTTCACGAGACAGAACCATAGCCAAGACTGAAAGTGTAACCCTGTGACGAACGCTGAGTCGCCTGGTCGTCGGCCCAAGAAGCGTCAGAGTGTCCTGTGAGTACCACCGAAACCCTTCCCCCAAGCACGAGCCCCATGCCCGATGTACTGCACAAGTAACGCAATACCCTCTTCGCAGCATCAAAGTGCACCTTTCGGTGTCAACCAGGTGCCATGTAGCGAGCCATGAGGCTGAGAGGGTACGCGAGGTCAGGTCGTGTGCACGTCATCAGGTACATGAGGCAACCCACAAGCTCTGGATACGGACCACTCGGCTCTACGGACTCGTCCGAAGGTGGAGCTCAGAGCGAGTGGCCGGTAGACAGAGGAGTGGGCTGTGGCGAGGAGTACTAGAAGCCGAAGCGCCGAAGGACATCGTGCACCATGTGTGACTAAGTCAGGGTGATGGTGCACCGTGCTCTGTCCCGCGTGATCTGCAAGCCAAGATAGCTACGCAGCTCACCCAGGTCAGTGCAGGTGTGTCTCTCCTGCAACTCCGCCTTCACTAGGGCCATCGCCTCAGTGTCAGTAGTAGCAAAAACCAAGTCGTCGACGTACACGAGAACGTAGAACGGCGGCAAAATAGTGTCGGTGCGTAGAAACAGCGACGGGTCAGCAGAGGAAGGAGCAAACCCAAGAGCCGCAAGTGTCGTCCTCAGTGTGTCGTGCCACTCGCGGGGCGCCTGGCGGAGACTGTAGACTGGGCGCCGGAGGCTCCACTGGGTACCGGCAGGAAACGACCCAGCGAAGCCAGGTGGGCGGCGTAGCCCGATCTCCTCGTGAAGGCTGCCCTGCAAGAAAGCTGTGGAGAAGTCAAGGGAGTGCAGCTCGTAGTCACGCTGTGCTGCAACGTGCAGCAACACCCGAAGAGTAGTCATCTTCGGGGTGGGGGAGAAGGTCTGGAAGAAGTCGACCCCCTGTCGCTGACTGAAACCTCGAGAAACGTAACGCGCCTTGAAGGCAGGCGGAGAACCCGGCGGCCGCTTCACCCTGAAAATCCACATGCCACTGACGATATTCGCCCCAGGTGGGGGAACCTCGTCGACGTAGGTGCCTGTGGACTTCCAGGAAGCCATCTCTGCGTCCATGGCTGCCTGGCACTGAGAGGAGTACTCACCCGAAATCGCCTCTCTGTAAGAGCGCGGGCTGGGGATGTCAGGTGCATCCGGGTCTCTCTCAGGGCAAAGCAGCATGGACGCGAAACGAGGTAAAGCGGCCGCAAGACACTCAAGCTCAAACTGCCTGTCCTCAAGGACGTCACTGCTAAGGGCAGGCTCACCCCCGACAGACGGAGGACAGACACACTCAGACTCAGTAACAAGACTTGCGACGTAGTCGCGACGACTCCTAGCTGCAAAGTCGACTAGCTTAGTGACTAGGGCAAACGCAGCAGTAGACTCAAAGTCAGGGTCAGTGACGACAGTAGCGAGGAGACGAGTGACAGTAGGACTGGTAGCACGTGCAAGGTCAGACGCATGGTCAGGAACGTGCGGAAGAGAGGACGCGGGAGGCTCAGGCAGGACAACACGCTGTGGAACAGAGGAAGGACGAAGTGCCATACCGTGAGTGCCTTGGACAGCAGGAGGACGAGGACGGGGGACACGACGAGCACGAACAGGTGTGGAAGCACGAGTCTCAGGCTCACGAGGCTCGACTCAGTCACCTCAGTGTGAGGAGCAGAAGCAGGCAGTGGGGAGCCAGGCAGTAGCTGTGGCTGAGACGGGTCTGTCGGTGGACACAGGAGAGGTGGATTGAGGCCAGTGGAAGACGGGAGACTAAGAACCTGGTGAAGGACCAAGTCAGGCGGCGGCAGGGACGATTGCGGCTGCGGGTAGAAAAACAGTCGGCGCGGGGCAGAACTAGCAGCTCCAGCTCCTCCAGTACCAGCAGCACCAGCACCTCCAGCACCAGCAGCGCCACTTGCTCCGGCAGCTCCAGCACCTCTAGTACGAGCACCTCCAGGACCAGCACCTCCAGCACCTCCAGTACCTCCAGCTCCAGCGCCTCCAGCACCAGCAGTACCTCCAGCACCTCCAGCTCCAGCAGCTCCAGTAGCACCTCCAGCACCTCCAGCACCAGCAGCACCACCTGCTCCGGCAGCTCCAGCACCTCTAGTACGAGCACCTCCAGGACCAGCAGCTCCAGCACCTCCAGTACATCCAGTACCTCCAGCTCCAGCGCCTCCAGCACCAGCAGTACCTCCAGCACCAGCAGCTCCAGTAGCACCTCCAGTACCTCCAGCACCAGCAGCGCCACCTGCTCCGGCAGCTCCAGCACCTCTAGTACGAGCACCTCCAGGACCAGCAGCTCCAGCACCTCCAGTACCTCCAGTACCTCCAGCTCCAGCGCCTCCAGCACCAGCAGTACCTCCAGCATCTCCAGCGCCAGCAGCTCCAGTAGCACCTCCAGCACCTCCAGCACCAGCAGCACCACCTGCTCCGGCAGCTCCAGCACCTCTAGTACGAGCACCTCCAGGACCAGCAGCTCCAACACCTCCAGTACCTCCAGTACCTCCAGCTCCAGCGCCTCCAGCACCAGCAGTACCTCCAGCAGCAGGGGCTGCTCGCGGGCAGCAGGGGCGCGCGTGACAGCAGGGCAGCGCGCTAGGGCAGGCAGTGCGAGTAGCTGCAGGGCAGCGTGACACTGTGCGAGAGGGCCGGACAGCGCAGTGGCGCTTCGGGCAGGAACTAGTGGAACGATTGGTGGGCCCTAAAAACCTAACAGGTTTCCTGCTCTGATACCATGTCAGAATCACTGTGCAGGAATGAATGAACTATGAATGAGTTGGGTACAAGCACTAACCCTAAAGTGTTGTACCCCTTGTAGGCTAACCCACTATAGCCTAGAGAGAACACAAACATACAGTTTGACAATGCAAAGCTGACATGCTATAATTATTTTATAATTTAAAGCCCGAGTACGGCATGGTTTTTACAAGTTCAAGCCCGAGTACATCATGGTTTTAAAGCCCGAGACAGCTCAATCGCAAAACTCAACCGCTCGTCGCTCACTCTGGATCAGTGTTCACCTCTCATTTATCTTGAACACCTAGTAGAACTCATAATCTGCCTACTCCCCCACGTAAGTAGGAAGCGCAAGCCAGTGCGGCAAAAGCTAGTTCCCATAACGTCATTTTTTACGGCATGTGTCACTGATCAGAGTAATGGTGCGCACTGCTCTGTCTCGGGTGATCTGCAAGCCAAGATAGCTGCGCAGCTCACCCACGTCAATGCAAGTGTGTCTCTTCTGCAGCTCCGCCTTCACAAGGACCAATGCCTCAGTGTCAGCAGTAGCAAATACCAAGTCGTCGACGTACATGAGGATGTAGAACGGCGGCAGAGAAGAGTCGGTGAGTAGAAACAGCGACGGGTCAGCAGTCGAAGGAGCAAACCCAAGAGCCGCAAGTGTAGTCCTCAGTGTGTCCTGCCACTCGTGGTGCACCTGGCGGAAACTGTAGACTGGCCGCCGGAGGCTCCACTGGGTACCCTCAGGAAACGACCCAGTGAAGCCAGGTGGGCGGCGCTGCCAGATCTCCTCGTGAAGGCTGCCCTGCAAGAAAGTTGTGCTGAAGTCAAGTGAGTGGACTTGTAGTCCCGCTGTGCTGCAAC